ACCAACAAAAAAAAAAAAAAGGAAGACGTCCTACAATGTGTGGTTTGAAACTCCTAGAAATGTATGAATCTAAAAAGAGGATGGATTTGTTTGCTGCTATGCTTGTATATTAATCCATTTTTGGTTTTTCAGCTTTTCAAGTTAGGTCCTGTTCACTCGGTATGCATATCTGAAGGTTTTGATACCAGCAAAGAGGTATGGCTTTCAATTTTTACCCAATGGGTGTTAATTTTCTTGTTGATCATAAGGAAATTGGCCTTGCTTCACTTTATTCTGGTTGTTAACTTTTCCGAGAATTTGAATCTGGTGCACCTGAGGTTCTGGTAAAAAAAGTTGTTGACTCGATAGATGAAATAAAATTATTATATATGCAATTATCTAATTATACTTTCAAGGACTATCGCTAAAGTTGTCAGTGGAAAAGATGATTCTATTTACCTTTTCCTCAGCATTATGATTTTAAAATTGGTGTTATGCCTGTCTAGTCCATATGGGTTGATATTTTATCTTTTGAACCAGAAAACCTATTCAAGGGGAATCACCATTCGATTTCGAACGGAGGCCGAGAGTAGAGCCTTTCATTGTGCATTTGAGCAATGGCAGAAGGAAGTGGTTGTTCAAGGTGCTGCTTTGATATATCTTTTTTCTAATTTTTCAGAGAAAACTCATTGGTTTGTCTCATATGATTGCTTGTCAAACAAAATATTTTTCTTTTTTTCGTGACAGTTCTTCATACTTCCCCTTTTTCTGTTTATGATTGACCTTGACTTGCATTTATACATCTGGGTTGGTCATTCAAGGCTCTTCGTGTTTTGCTTTTACTCTATGCAAATAATGATTGCTAGAAACTCTAATAAAGTGGANTGCTTCCCCTTTTTCTGTTTATGATTGACCTTGACTTGCATTTATACATCTGGGTTGGTCATTCAAGGCTCTTTGTGTTTTGCTTTTACTCTATGCAAATAATGATTGCTAGAAACTCTAATAAAGTGGAGGTCTGTTTCAAATCACATGTACAACTACATATATTTAACATTTTTGCATAAAATTGTGACTCACTTGAGTTTAGAATTTTTCGAGATATTTGCAACCTATATGCAATAACATGCTCATGTCAAAATTATGAATTGAAAGCAGCTTGATGTGGCAAGGAACCTAATGCATTATTGTCTCTCTTTCCAGGATCACATTTACCGAATGGAGCTCTATTGACTTCTAAGAGCAAATTTGATGATAAAATAGAGGCATCTTCTGCCAAGATGTATTTCCATTACTACGGGCAACTGCTACATCAGCAAAATATGTTACAAGATTATGTGAGGACAGGTTATATCACTGAGCTGTAATTTGTTACTTCCCTCCCCTCTCTTTTTGGCATTCACTTTGGTTTCCTTTCCTTTCCTTTTCGAAAACTACACTCACATTCCCCTACTATGCCAAATTCTTTGTTCAAGGATCATATACCCTCCCTGTGCTGCAGAAAAGTATTGCATGCCAACAAACTTTTTTGCCTTACTCCAAATTGTCAAGCAAATGATATATGTTGTGAGCATTTACATATTTTCAAAGTGAATAAATGACATGCTAATTGTGCGTTTTTCAGGAACTTATTATGCTGCTGTCATTGAAAACCGTGCGGATTTTATTGGTCGTGTGGTAGTTGATGTTGGTGCTGGCAGTGGCATTTTGTCATTATTTGCTGCTCAGGTTCCTTTAATGTTCAACATAGTTATTTAAACTGCGTGCCACCACATCGGTTTCCTGTGCTTGTGCTTTGAAACATACAACACAAAAATATCTTCACGGTGTGTACTGTGTATTTTAGGCTGGTGCAAAACATGTTTATGCTGTGGAAGCATCTGAAATGGCCGAATATGCACGTAAACTTATTGCTGGGAACCCCTCGCTGGGTCAAAGAATTACGGTGGGTATTCTTGTTTGCTTGCAATTGAATGTCTTTGCAAATGTTGTTCGCTTGAATACTATTCCATTTTCTCTGGGCACTTTGTCATCGGACATATAGGTAATCAAGGGTAAAGTCGAAGAAGTCGAGTTGCCTGAAAAAGCAGATATTTTGATATCTGAGCCAATGGGTAAGCTTATCTTCTCATTCTGAACTCCTATCTGGACTGGCAATTAGTTTTGTAAGGCTTGAAATATTAGCGTGTATGCATGCTTCGAGCCAGATGGATTTAAAGTAGGCAATGGTTTTAAGTACCTGGCATTGAGGACTATCCATGTTGAGGACTTGTAGTGTCCTATTCTGCTTTATTTTTATTTTTTTTTAAATATCGTTTTTTTAACAAAACAGTTTTAGATGCAAATACATGGGATGTGTGTACTGAATTGTGACTAATGCTACTGTTACTTTACTTAATGCATCTTTACTGTGGGAATCTAAGAATAGTCCCTTGAGTGTATTGTTTTTGTAGGCTCACATGGTATGCCATTTCCTCTTCTCCCCTTGCTCTTTAACGCTTACATATTTTTTAGCCAATTTTGTCATTGCTTTATATGGTGAGGCAAGAATGTCCTCAATGTTAGTTTTTCTGCCTGTATTTTGTATGTCATGGTTAATGAGTTCTATCCTCTTCCATCCTGGCATCTCTACTACAAGCAATAGTCCAGGTTGCAGTTACTTTTGTGACTAATCAAATATTTAATTTGTTATTGTGCAACAAATCAAATCTTATCGAGCACATTTTACTTTTTTCAGGCACCTTGTTAGTCAATGAAAGAATGCTGGAATCCTATGTAATTGCAAGAGATCGTTTCCTTGTTCCTAATGGAAAAATGTTTCCTACAGTGGGGAGGTTTTGTTTTTCCTGAAATCCTTTTCCTCCTTTCCCAATAGTTTAAGGGACATCTTAGGACTTCAATCATTCCTAATATTACTAAAACAGCCATGGTCCTGCGTTAGATTACCTTGTTTGACATCATGAAAAAATGGTTTCTCATTTTTGAAGTAAGTCGGTGGAATTGAAAACTTGAAACGACACCTACATTTAATGTCTTGTATTTGTTTTGTTTTTCAGAATGTTCTCTGACATTTTATACAATCTAATAATTCTTGCTTGCATTTACCAAGTGATCTTTGTGAGCATGCATTAATCTTTTCCGTCTAATACATCTAATGCCCTTTTGTATCTCTATGATGCAATGGAACATGTCTTATGTATCTCCACCATATCACAGCCATCTGAAGCCATAAGAATTCCTTTGATTTTTCCACATGATTATTTTTTATGTCTGAACTTGCATTTCTATCACATTTTTTGCTTCATGGCAAAATTATTTAGTGCATCTCTTTTGAGTGTGCCGCACCTACATACTGTAGTTCCTCTATGTGTGGTGTATTTGTCATCCCCCCCCCTCTTCTAGCGTTTTAAAGCTGTTTTCTCTTGTAGAATACACATGGCACCTTTCAGTGACGAATATTTATATATTGAAATCGCAAATAAGGTATGCACTTTGATTTGTTGTTTTATTTCTGTTGTTGCATGTTTTTCTTTTTCTTTTTCTTATTTTTTCCTTTTTCCTTTTTCCTTTTTCTCTGTTGTGGTGGATGGGGTTTTGTTTTATTTTGATATAGAAGAATTGTGATTATTTTGATGAAGTTGTCTCTGGAATATTGGGTATTTTTGTTGCACTTTAATTTTCCTCTCTTAGAATCTTCGCTATACAATGCATGAGTCAAATGCTACACACATCTGTAGTTTGGTTGTGTTGTATGTTCCACTTTACTAAAACAAACAAATCAATTATGAACTTCTGGGCTCACTTGATTGTTCTTATTTTCATGTCTATGTATAAATTTATTATTTTGGAGTAAAAGATGTATTTGAGTTTTGTATACTGTCTAAGTTGTTTATCAGAAGATTACCAAGTAAATACGAGAGAANGACTCACTTGATTGTTCTTATTTTCATGTCTATGTATAAATTTATTATTTTGGAGTAAAAGATGTATTTGCGTTTTGTATACTGTCTAAGTTGTTTATCAGAAGATTACCAAGTAAATACGAGAGAACTTTAGAAAATTTTGAATTTAGGTTGGCATCTAAAATTCCGTAAACTTATGGTAAATATTGGGTAAGGAACTCTCTTTAATTCTACAGGCAGGTAACTATGCACCGTTTTTGATAATTTTCTATTCAACCCAAAATTAGTTTCTTGTTCAGCAAAATTATGAGTAGTGTGCTCAAAATTAGAATTCTTTTTGGTCACTTAAGTCTAAGAATTTGATGTTTGATTATTCGAATACAAATGTGCATCATTTATATTATATTTCATGGATTTGGACTTGAATGTAGCAATATTCTATCTGTTTTTTATCCAACCCGAGTTATAGCTATATAGATGTAGCACGTGATTATTTGATTAAATGGAGTTGCAATGTAAATGTAGTTTTTTAAAATTCAGCTTAGTTGATTTGTTCAGATTGGATATCTAATTTTTTAACAAATTTAGATATGGATTGTGAAAACAAAATCCATCCGGTTTTTGAATTGGATATTTTGTCTGGATTAGATGAAATCCGAACCAAATCCGATTTATTGACAGGGTTACTTGTGTCTACATATGCATCCAAACTTATGTTCAGTTTGGATCTTTGCCGGAGGGCCATGATTATGTCTCTCTTAATATAATATTTGTCAGAAGCAGGTTTCTTAACCAGTGAAGTCTAAATTGTTATTATTTCTTGTCATCCAGGCCCTCTTTTGGCAGCAACAAAATTATTATGGGGTTGATTTGACGCCCTTGCATGGTTCTGCATTTCAAGGATACTTTTCTCAGGTCTCTCTTGGAAATTTTCAAATATCTTTGGAAGTATATGACTGCATTGTGGATTTTTTAAGTCTTGTTCTTTATTTGATCTAGACTCTTAAACTTATTGTGAAGCTTTTATTAGGTCTCAGGTCTCGTACCTTTTTCAGTTTTTCCAGAGTGTCTTAATCATGCATCATAACTGGAATTTCAAAGCTGATTGCCTTCTGCATATATTTCATATTTTCTGTTGTTGGTGATTAGGTTTTAGAAGCATGAAAATCTGGTACATTTAGGTAGAAATTGGTAATCTTTAATAGTGAAGAATATAATGAATGCATCCTCTCATGTTTAAAACTGTTTACGCTGAGAAAACTGTTACACACCCGAGTCATTGCATCAAGGATGACATGGATGTTAATTTGCAATGATAAATAAAAGATGTCTTGGGTTGGATCTTGTTTTGACTTACTGGACAGTATATTTCATGACTTGTCTATCAAAAATAAAAGCTGCTGCATTGAAAAGGGGTTGGTTTTAAATGGTGATTCGGGGTGGGGTACCAAGGAGAATTTTGATGGAGCTTTTTGGTGCTACCACTTCCGATATTGCTGGATGGAAAAGATTGGTAACTGGCTATTGGGACTAAAATATGCCATTCATTTTTGTGAATGCCTCCGCCTGTCATATTGGCTGTTCAAGTTTTTTTTTTCTTTGTTTTTTTTTTTTTTTTTTGGGGGGGGGGGGGGGGG